CCTTTTAAAATGCCTACATACATGTGCACCTGGTAAATATTATATAGCTGGTTTGGTCTCCCAGGTGACTAAAACACATTTTATAACCTTCATGAAAATTCTTTGCTTTCTTCCTCTTCATTTTACATTACCAGAAGAAAAAAAAGAAATTACACAGATAACTATTATCCAATTAAAAGAGCCCCACTGATGCTCTTAACATAGACATTACTCTTCTTGTTGTTGTTTGGAAACCATAGAAAAGAAATAGCAGCTATACAATTTCAAAGTGGTGTCATTAGAGATATTTCAGCTGTTCATCCTACTCCTGTGGCTTTGGCTTTCACATCATGCATGCACTAAACAAGAGTAAGCAAAGACTGGATGGTGTCTTATTCACACAATAAAATTGTGTGAAAGAATATAATCAAAGGGGCACTCTTTCATGTTGCTTTAAAAACCCAATCAAGTTGGGTAATAATGTGAACGTATAAAGAGACCAAATGGTGAAACTGGTCTGGTCAGTGGCGTGGCCGGTACCATTTAGGAACCTGAGTTTGAGCATGACCTCAGGCTGGTAGAGGCACTGGAAGCCTTTTGAAAGTGATGCTCTCATAAATTATGAGAATTGGATTCTTTTTGACATCCTACTTGCAGTTTGATACAGAGTCTTTTCTGAGACTCTTTGTTCACCGGGCTACAGGGCTGACAATATGAGAAGAGGAAACTTTACAGCCCAGACTGAAGGGAGGGTGAAAAATCCTATGAACCTGATATGCTCGACCTAACTTCTCGGGATGGTGTGTACCCTCACACAGTTGGCTCGTTTTGTTTGATTATAGTGGGGGAAAATCTCTATTTCTTTTCCTCAGTTCTGATGCTCCTTCCACTTATTGTGCCAATATTAAAGTTAAGCAAAAATAAAGTCAGTTGTGTGATCGGATTCTCAGTCAAGAATCTACATTGACATAATGTAAAACAGTGGTTCTCAACCAGGCGTACGCGTCCCTTTGGGGGTACACAGAGATATATTACTGGGGGTGCTCAACTCATCTAGATCAGTGTTTCTCAACCTGGGGTTTGCAGCTCCCAGGTGGGGGGTCATGAGATGGGTTTAAGGGGTTCGCAAGTGTAGGGGGCTGGCATTAAGGGGTGGCAATTGCCCGGGGCCACATGCCATAGGGGGCCCTGTGAAGCTAAGTTACATGCTTCAGCTCTACTGCCTGGGGCTTGGGCTTCGGACAAAGCTCACAAGTGAAAAACAGACTCAAGTATCACACTGAATATAAGTACAATATTTATATTCCAATCTTTTATTTTATAATTAGATAGTGAAAATGAAAAAGCAAGCAATTTTTCAGTAATAGTGTGCTGTGACACTTTTGTAATTTTATGTCTGATTTTGTAAGCAAGTAGTTGTTAAGTGAGGTGAAAACTTGGGGTACGCAAGACAAGTCAGATTCCTGAAAGGGGTACAGTAGTCTGGAAAGGTGAGGAACCACTGATGTAAAAGGTGTCATTAGAGATTTGGACCAAAATCCTTGATCCAAACACCTCTATACTTTAGGGGACCTGGGACCCATGTCTGAATCAGAATTGTGTGGCTCAGGCACAGCACTAGTTGTAAGGCAAAGAAGCCAAAATTGATAAAATTCAAAGTATGGCTGATGCGCCCACACATTACATGTAGTACTTTCCTGTGAACTGTCCTGTTTCTATACTAGTATAAGTCTTCTTATGGTGATCTGTTCTGATGTTGATGTAAGCCAGATTCTCCAACGAGAGAATAAGGAACAAGGTCCATCTATGTATCTTTTGCATCTATGTATCTTGGTTAAGGGGATATGGCAAATATTTTCTAATTCTGCAGAGGACACAATGCAAAGGTAATAAACAATAGGGAGGAAGGGCAAAGGTTACAGGAATAAGATCACAGGGGAGCTAGATTGTCACTTGTTCTTATCCAGGAGTGAGTAAGGAGCTAACCCCTTGCATGTGCTGTATAAGTGCTACTGCTGCCCGAACTGGAGCCCCTATGTATATCGGCCGTTGCATCCAATGCATGTTAGCTGAATGCTTCTGCTAAAATATTAGCAGTTTAATAGTTAATAATGTAACCATTTCTTTAACTTATCATTATAAGGTTTCTAAATTAACACACCATTGAAATTAATAGGTGCAGTTCACATTTCTCAGAGCTTTTCTGCAGACTCATTAGTTTGCATTGGGTTCATATTTAGAAGGCTGTTTTTGCAACTCTAAGGGCTAGAAATGTACGGTCAAATTATTTGCTAGTGTAAATTGGTGCAGCTCCATTGACTTCAACATGCCCATAATTGTTTAATCCAAGCTTCAAGTCTGCCACATAGTTTTGCAGCAATGGGTAGACTATGCAGAAAATCTATGGCTGAAGTGTTAGAATACATTGGACTCTGGTTATGCTTTGGAATCTAGATAAAATGCTTAGGGCCCGTTGTCTTACTTATGTTAAAGTCACTGGTAAAATCCTCATTGACTTCAGTGTGAGCAGAATCAAGCTCTTAAGGCACACTCCTACTACTGCCTTGAAAAGCCATGAATTTTGATATATAGTTTTTCATTATGAAAGCCATTTTCTTCTTTGCAGTTGCACCCAGGTGAGTGTCTGGCTCCAGGCCTTCATTTTAGGCTCTGTGACCTAGACATACAGTACTAACAGCACTATGAGTTTGACATCTGCAGGCAGTAACTTGCGCATGAGAATCACACAGCTGCAGATAACATTTTATGAAATTATCTCAGAGACTATCCGGTAGCTAGAGCTATATTGAAGGCTCCAAGACTTATGGGCCACAAACTTCAAGGAACTTTGGAAAGCTAAGCAATCAGGCAACAAAGCTGCTATGTTGTACTTCAAACTCAGGAAATAAGAAAATGCTTTCAAAATGGTAGCTTAGAAGTGTGGAAAATTACCCACGATCAGGAAAATGTAAAGCTAGTCTTTTCAGGATTATATTTGTTCCAGCTTAATGGACTGTACCTGGTATATATTAAAATGCTACTAAGAAGGCTATTGTAGTTAAGGAGAGGTCCATTGATTAATTATAAACACACATTTTTGAGGGGTATATAGCTTAGCCATTTAAAATCACACCAAGCTGAAGTTTGACATACAAGTGCTATGCCTGAATGAAATCCCCCCCCGCCCCCCGCCCGTCATCCCAAATTTAATGCAAACCTGTTTAGTTGTTTTTTATTACGGAAGAACTGTGAATAAAAAAGGAATTTATTTGGGGGCAGTTTAAATACTTTTAAAAAGTAAATGAGGGATTGCAGGCCATTTTCCCTTCATGCAGAGAAGGAGAAGGGCTCAAATCAATTTGATGAGTTATAGACAAGTTCACTCAGTTCAAAAAACTATTTTTTACAGAGCATTCAGCAGCTAATTTTCATAACCCCTTCCAACATGGATTGCTCTCCCTAATGCCTTGCACACATACTGTTCTCAGTTCTGCCCGTGTAGCTACCCGTTCAACTCTTCTTGCCTTTATGTGATGAACACATGAATATTGAAAGAACTAATTTGGCCCAGTGTGAACACAATGCAGAATCCCAGAGAAGAAAATGTAGCTTTAGTTTAAAATTTACACAAACACTGTAGTATGAAACATTTGTTCAGACTGCGTTTAAGGAGAATGCATTCTGTGGACAGGATGAATTCGGATCAAAATTCCATCCAGATGTTGAAAATGTAATACATACAAAGGATTGGTTCCATCCCAGTCTGATGGACCAGAAAAAATGTCAGTGAAGAGGTGTCTATATGGGTAGCTGTAGGGGAATTGACTTTTTTTTAAAGCAATACTGTTTTTTTTCTGATTTGATTTTTTTATATCAGGTGAAAAGTGCTATCCAAGTATTAATATTATGTTGCTGCTAAAAATCAAGGGAAATTAAAATTAGAAAAAACATTTAAATAACACTAAAGGCATGATTCAAATGCACAAAAGCAAGAAGTTCAAATTTAATACTGCCTCTTCCTACTTAACCCATCTCTTGTATTAATGTATTGCACATTTGAAGATGGGAATGAATTGTGGATGGAATGAGCATCTTAAATGTCCCTACTCCCATTGATTTAGTTTAGATCAGACCTTATATTCTTATCTACATACTTTACATATATTATATAAACCAACTGTAGTAGATTTTGAGCTAAAGTGTTAGTTTATAGTTACTGGGTAGTTACAGGAAATTAAAATGTTATAAGAACTGGTCACATACATGAAATTACAGTTATATGTTACCTGTGTTATTACCATCAGAAAAATAGTTAGCAACCAATTAGAATAATTTTTAGAACAGCTAATTTCAGTTCTTTTAAATACAATTTAAAATTTCTATCATATGTTTGATGTAAAGTATTAGTATAGAATGAGTGAAATCCTGGCCCGACTGAAGTCAATGGAGTTTTGCCATTGACTTCAATGAGGCCAATATTTCACAGATTATCTGTTTCTGTAATACAATGTTTTGAAGAGATTTGAAGCCACTGGTTAATTCAGAAAGATTTAGGTACGTGTAAGTAGGGTTGCCAACTTTCTGACGGAACAAAACCAAACACTCTTGCCCCGCCCATTCTCCGAGGCCCCGCCACCCTCACTCACTCGCTCATTTTCACCTGGAGAGGGCTGGGGAGAGAGTCCCTTTTCAACAGGGTGACCAGATGTCCCGGTTTTATATGGACAGTCCTGATATATGGGCTTTTCTTTAATATGGGCTCCGATTACCCCCGACCCCCATCCCGATTTTTCACACTTGCTATCTGGTCACCCTACTTTTCAACCGGGTGTTTGGTTGAAAACTGGGCACCTGGCAACCCTAAATCAGAGAGCTGGGATAGTACAGGGTAGTGGGTTGTTTAAAATTCTTTAAGTATCTAAAGAAACCCAGCAAAAGAAGCACCTCTGAGCATAGGATTTGATCCATTACTGCCTGTTGCGACCGCTGTTCACTCCCCTTATTATGTTTGTCTTCCTCACCTCTTGTGTCATGTCTGAAATTCAGATTGTAAACTGTCTCAGGCAGGGATCAAGTCTCATGTGAAGTGCCTTGCACACTTTGGCACACTATAAAACAAATAAAAAATGATTCGTGTTTTAAAACAAACAGGATTGAACTGAAAGAATTTTAAATAGGAGTTGCAGATACTCATCACCTCTCAAGATCAGGCCCTTGGATACAGTATTTGTGGGGTTTTTACGCTCATTTAAATGTACAATTTCTGTTTTGAGATTTCATTTGCATATCTTGGGTAGTTTTCCAATGTTACACCCCATGAAGCCAATTCGGAAAATCCTTTGTATCCGCAAGCTACATGTACAAAATTCCCAGTATAAATACAATGCCGAGTTTAAAGAAAGTATTTTTCAAATAATTTAAATCCTGATCCAGTAATCCATTTACTCAGATCAGCAGTCCCACGGAAGTAAATGGGATTACTTGCATGACTGAGGTTTTAACTGTGTATATATTTGAGCAGAATCAGATCCTTAGAAAGAATGCAAAGCAAAATAACCACAAATATTATATTAGTTGATATAATGAGATGTTTAAAAATATATATTTAAAAGGAACAATTATGTATACATCTTAATGTCAAAGTCCAAAGCAGTTTTTTCAAGGGTGTTTAAAAAAATCAGAGCAATAAGGTAATTGCTCCAACATTTTAATGAACATGGTGATTCTTCCAGTAATGCAAATTCTAACACCTCTTCATTTCATTTAAAAACTCTCTAAGTTATACACATATATGTACACATTATTCACATATATAATGCTTCAGTGACTTTTTAGGCATATATTAAGTTCAAAGCCTTGACTATACTGTTTTTCTACCGCACTGCATATATTTTTATAGTCCTTAAATGATCTTTTGTGACAGAATTTTAAAAATGCCATAGTAGTATATAAAAATAATTATTTTTTTAATTTCATATTTAAAATATGCATTTTATGCAGAAGATATATTTAATCACAGATTTCTTAAATTAAGAGACTATATGATGTGGTAATTTTCTTAATCTTCCTTTTAAAAAATGCAGAATTATCTCCCAAAACACGTTCTGTACAATATTCTGTGAGTGTTGCCAATTAGTTATTAATATTAAATTAATATTAGATATTTCAAAAATAAAATGTCAGATCAAGTGACAGACAAAAGTGAAGACTTTTGTTATTGATCAAATACATCATCTGCATTAAAATGCATTTTCTGTAATTTGCTAATATAACTAAATATTGATCATACAATAATATCCTCATACTTCTAACTCCAAAAGGGACAAAAATAAGGATTTTTTAAACTACTGCTTTAGCGTTCAAACATAGTGGTGAATATATATTTTATGCTTATAGGTTCTACATATGCACATGGTTCTAGCCAATATCATATACAAGCTAAAATACATATTTTGGAAACTAGCAAATGTATAGCACTCAGTGTAAAGCAAGTTGTGCCTACAGCTTACTCATTCATTAGCTCTGTTTCCTATGGCTCAAAATAATAACATATAAGTCTGTTAGTTTTTATTTAAAACTCTATCCTCTGTTGCTAAAATACTAATTGCTTATACAATTGCTCAAATCACTCCTAAAAACAACTTTATGTGGAGTTTTCTTAATAAGAGCAAAGGCCTTGGTTACCTGTGTGTGTATAATATGTATCTTAAAACTTTTTTGTTGTTGTTGCCTACAAATATTTCCACAAAACAGCTATGTATAGCTGCACTTCTGGTTTAGTTTTACTGCATGTATTCAGCACATGTTCAGCGTGTATTCAGCACAAAGACAAACCAGGCTTATACAGTATCTTGCTCTGCTTGGCCTTCAGCCTTGCCACCTGAAAGCCAACTATCCTTTTCATCTGAAACAAAATGAAACTTTTAAAAAATGTCCTGTCCATAAAACACTATAAAATTCCCTCTCTTTTAGGCAGCTTTCCAGCACTCTGGGGAGTGTCTACACGTGACTAGAACATGTTTACTTCCTTTCTGGCAACATTCAGGTAAATCCCAGAGCAGCCAAAAAAGCTAAGGAAATCCTGAGAGTGATGGCATGACAGCCTGGCATTGCCTGCTCATTTACTTCCTGTTTGCTTCAATCCTGCTTAGCCGAGTATTGTTGACTCCTAAAGCAACCAATACCCAACAGATTGTTTTCTCCCTTCTCCAGGGCAGCTGGGCATTTGGAATCTGCACTCAGGGGGCCTCCCCGGGGTGATTTCGGTGATCGCTGAAGGGCAAGGTCCGTTCAGAGGTGCTCCGTAGACCTTTCCCCACGTGGCCGGGGCAGGGGTTGCTGGTGCCAGGGCACAGGGCTCGGATGGGAGACGTTGTCTGCGGATTTCCGAAGGTTCCTTTCTGAGCGACGTGGGGCCGGAGCCAGCACTGATGCTGCGGGGCCATTAGGAGGCCTGGGGGCAGCGTGGGCCACCAGCCGCAGCGGGCTGGGTTCAGGCAGCCTTAGGCCTGCAGCGCAGCCCGGCCCCACTCCCATGCATCCCGCAGCTCCGCCCAGCCTCCGGGGCCTTAAGCCATGGCAGGTCTGGGATAACCCGGCCCTCAAGCCCCAGCCGCTGCAGCCCTGCGCCTGCTGGCAGCACCCCCCGCGCGGCCGCTCCCTTGGCCGGCACCTCCCGCCTGCAGCGCTTGGGAGTGGGGCAGTGGGTGGATTTCCCTGAACTGCGGGGTTATTTCCGTGATCCCCCAGTCCGCTCTTACAAACACCAGCCGAGCAACCCCTGCCCCTAGTGTGTGGCAAGGCATTGCCCTGAGGGCAGCAAATGCAAGGAAAAGAGTCAACTTACTTGGATCCACGCGGTCTGGCCCCTCGTGGCATTTACGGTGCAAGTGGAAAGCACAGCGCCTAAGGCTGATGCCCCCCCCCATCAGAAACAGGGATCGGGGACATCTCTTCCCCCTCTGGGCTGCAGGACTGAAAGTTGCAGGAGGAAGGCATGGGCAATGCAGCCAAAGGAGCCAGCCCTCTCTCTTCCTTCCCCATGAGAAAGTCTGTGGCAGCTCAACTCCACAGCATTGTTTTCTTCACTCCATTTTTTTTTTTTTATTTGTAAGAAAACGCCAAAAATGTAAATATAATTTTACGGTGGGGGGTGAACATTCCTACTGAGCCGTAGGGTTATTTCTATTAGGTCCCCCATTCCCTCCCTAGGTACGGCATAGAGATTCCTAGTCTCACAGCGCTCCCTAGTGGACAGCAGCCGCACCCATGACTCGCTTCCCTCCTCCCATCCCCTATTACAGCCTGTAATATATTCCCCCCCACCCCCTCCCAAAGAGGTATCGACAACCTACAGGACACAAATGACCTTAGAACGCCCCTGTCCATAATCTGCATATTCATTCATCTCTACCTTCCCTCCAATAAAAAGAAAGGATCTCCATAAACTAAATCCCAAGGACCCAGTTCCAAGTGCATTTTTTTGTCCTGGATCCTCTTTTAAACCCACTCCACACTGCTTCTCTGTCTATTACATGCTAATTTAATTTTACTATGGACGATATTTTCAGCGTTTGCTGAGGACAGTAAATTTTGTAGTTTATGTTATTTCACTTTTTATGACTTTTTAACACTTAATAAAATTTTATTAGAGTACTTTTGTGTTTACAAGGCCACAAAACTCTTGGCAGGTTGTCAGAAGTCCTTTTTATTATGATCCTACTGATATACTGCAAGTAATGAAATAATCATGTCCAGAAATGTATCAAAGGCCAGAGGGATTATCCAGTTTAATAGCTCTACAGATGCGCTGTGAAAGATATGGACATGCAACCCCTTGACAGGCTAAAAAGCTTGGTGGAAGGAGGAGGCAGACTGGTTAATTCCTTTACCATTTGAAGCTACTTCTGTTACTATCCTAAAGGCTAGATTCTTGGTCATGTGACTCCTGGCTGTTTCAATAAAAATGAATTTATTCTGTTGCAATATGCTATTTTCTTTTTATTCTTCTTAGGTGTGCATTTAATGCTGAAGTGCTTGCAACCTTCAGTAAAAAGCCATTTATTGAAAAATAGCCTTTTATAGCACCATTTGGCAGCTCACAGTGACTTTTGATCTGCTCCAGCAGCAAAGGAGAGAGACTATATTGGTGAGATCAAATATAGAACAAGGTGTATTGCAATGTTCTCTGAAGCGATTGCTTTTTGTTTTTGAAAGGGTACAGTTACTGGGGAACTCTGATTGTGTATATGCCTGAGTTCCACAATGGGCTGTTTTTCTGCAGTGCTCTCTGTGCTATAGCCTGAGATACTGCAGCTGTTTTTAAGGTCATTTCCTTTTATTTTAAATAATTGTTCATTTAACATATGTCGTTAAACTCATTCTTGCGTCAAAAGGAGGCGATTATACTTCCTGACCCTGAAAGCAAGGTGGGTGGTTTTGTTTTATAATTAAATTTGCTGTGTTCAATTTCATATTTTTCTTTCTCTGCTGTTTCCTAAAGAGCATGCCAAAAAAGATAAAAGAGACCGATGATACAAGATACGTTTTTTAAATGCCAACGTTGTCTCGCTAACGCACACAGTTCTAAAGTTTTAGCTTCAGAGGGACACCAGCAAGGTGCTGTCCATCATTTTAAAAATAATTGTTTTAGTCACTGTGGTTTAAAATAGCCCCTTGAAACCTAGAACTAAAATATATTTCCATATTCAAATGCACAGTGCTTGTTTTGCCTCTAACACATACACTTGTGTGATATTGCAAGCATGCCCATGATTCTGCCAAAAGGGATGTTTTAAAAGAAAAATGCACTAGTTAATTTGGGTTTAAAGCATATTGTAAGAATTTACATGTACTTTGCAAAAGATATAAGGAGTGGGAAATGGATCAAACTGTTTATCTTCCAAATCAGCACAATCTTAAGAACAAAGGACTTTTCTGCCCCAGTAATAGTGGGACACATTCTGATACCTTTGTTCATATTGAGTAGCACCTAAGTCCTGGGGCAGTGCCTTTGAAATCAGTGGGGCTTCTGAAGGAGTTACGGTACTACTCAGTGATAGGAAGTACATCAGAATCTGGCACAGTGTAAGTAAAGCAAATCCTTTAATACAGATTTGCTTGAAGACAGAAGTTCAGTTATCCCAGAACAATATCATCAACTGTAAATCATTTGTTTACAGGTCCAAGGTCAAATTAAACTTTTTAAACCTTTCATAACCCTCAAATTGGAAATCTGTAGAATGAAATGATGTGCAGAAAGGCATGATGGACTGGAAATAGTTAACCTTGCAAGAGCAGAGTTTTCAATTATTCCTTTAGAGACAGAGAGAGAGAAACTCGTTGAGTGTAAATATGAAAACTAGCTACAAATTATTTAACCAATGAAGCATCTAACTAATTTAACACTTCCCTAGTGCCTTGGATTTTCTTCTGAAACCCCCGAAGAGGACTGAGGAAGCAAGTGTGGAGTCCCACTGCCAGAGAGAGTGAAGAAATGGAGGGTAAGCAATACAGTGTACTGTGGGGCTGGAGTGGTGCTCAGGTGAGGGTAAAATGGGTGAGCAGGACTTTGAAGTGCTGATTTCATTGCTATAGCTGGAAAGGGGAAGCTTCAGCAGAAAAACTCCCAGACAGGAGCATGACCCTTGAACCTCCAGAAAGCTTTGTACTTCGCTAGGACAAATACCAGTCTAATGAATGGTCTCTCACCACCACTATCAGTGTCAATGCTGGTAAGGTCAGTTCAGCAAGATATTCTGCACATGAAACCCCCATTGATGTCAGTGGTAGTGCCCTGCACCGAGTGAATGGAGAACGTGCTGCAGGAGACATCTGCAGTGTAGGTCTGAGACAATATTTGTTCCTTTACATTTTGCAAGCTGTTAGCCTGGTGTATGTTCTTGGCCACTATATGTGAATATATTCTCACATTTTTGACTCTACAGTTATTTTTTTTTTAATAGAGCAGCAAATCCTGGTCCCAATGAACTCAGGATAAAATTGTAAACTCTAGGCCCATAGTACATCATGGGGACAATTGACATTATGGTGGTCATAGAGTGATACATATTAATAACTATAATGGGCCAATTCCTGGTCCCACTGAAGACGTGGAGAGGTTTGCCATTGACTTGCAATTATTAATATGCATTTCTTTAACATTATCATGGTTTCATAATATCAACGGACATTATTCTGTACTGTATTATGCTATGGACTGATGTAATTAGCTAAATAATAATTGAGTATGTGTGTATACATGTTTTATATACACACACATTACACCATGTCCGCTTCTTTTTTAAAACAACTGCAAAAAACAATAAACAAAGAAAATCAATCCACAAACCTCTGATTAAAGAAGATAACACAGTTTACAAGAATTGCTTGGGATTTAGCCACAAAACTCCTATTGATTGAAATGTGAATTGTGTGGCTAAATCACAATTGGCTCTTTGAAAATGCAGAATGTGGGAATGATGATAAACCCACAACACCAAGTACATAGATATGCTGGAGACAGATACACTAGGGCAAAAATTCATGCAGATGATGACAATATGCACTAAATATGTTATAACAAGGCAGTGAAAGTTCTAGCTGTGTAATTTAATGTGCATATGCCAATGAACATTGTGCTAGCTGCATGCCAGTTGCTAAAGAACCCTTACAGGATGTATCATATAAAGGCTTTCCTGAGACGAAAGTGAGATAAGCAAAACTGGGTGGAAAACTAGCAATAGACTATTTAATCAGTGGAGCATCTATCTAACTTAATACTTCCCTAGTTCCTTGGATTTTCTTCTGTATCCCCAGTTTGGAGGGAAGGGTGGAAGCAAACCCCAGGCTCATCTGATGGGTGGACCTAGTTTGAAGACCCAGTTATCCTCTGAGATAGCTGACAGCAGCTCAGGCTATGGGTTTGAATGCAGAGGGCAGAAAGGGAGAGCATCTCTAATTCTCAAAAGACGAGTTGGGATTTTTTTTTTTGCTTAGGCACATGGTTATCAATTATAATTCAACATAGTTTGAGTTGGGTATTTCTGTATATACTTAAGACAAGTAGTAGTTCTCATATCAGTTTCTCTTGTTTATTATTTCAAGCCTGGTCCCATTTACTATACATAGCCCATTACTTGTTTTCAACAAAAAGGTAATGTTCATTTATGGTCTGTTTCTTGTGGAGGCTACTTTATTTATCGTAACAGCAGTAGTAGATAAAGGGAGGAACAGAGTCTAATAAGACCACCTTGGAAGCACACTACTCAGTATTATTAGAGGGGTCCAGAGAGGCAACCCTTTGCCCTAGTAAATGAAAACAATTACAGCAAAATAAGGGTAATCTGAGAACTTTATTCTACCTTATATTGAGAAGTTCTACCAAATTGTATTGTTCAGACAGCTGATCAGGTAGGAATTCGGGACTGCCGTAATACTTTATTCCCTCCCCCACACACACACTAACCCCCATGCTCACAGAGTCCTGTGTGAAAACTCAATGCACATGGCTAATAAATACAGATAAAGGGCAATATCAGAACTGCTGTGAAGTCCTTTCATTTACGACAGCTCCCAGGAGAACAAAGGAACAGTATCAGTGCAGGAACTCGCTGTATTATTAAGGCAAAGTGTCCATTGGCTGAAGAGAAAGTGATCACAAAGGGACAATGCTACTTAAGGTAATTAACATGGCCCCAATTACCATAATATGTGAGCACCTCCCAATCTTTAACACACCAGCCCAGTGAGACAGATAAGTCCCATTACTCTCAATTTCAGAGGGAAAACTGGGGCACTGAGTGCCAGATTCCATTGAAATCAATGGTACTTAGGCACCGAGGGGCTTTTGAAAATCCCACTAGGAGTCTATCTGCTTCTTTAGACACCTAAATACCTTTAATAATCTGGCCCAGAGAGACTAAGTGACTTGTCTAAGTATGCAGTGTAGTTGTAGCCATGTCGGCCCCAGGATATTAGAGAGACAAGGTGGGATTTGTCCAAGGTCACACAGGAAGTATATGGTGGATTAGGAAATTGAACCCAGATCCCAGGCTAGTCCCCTAACCACTAGACCATCCCTTCTCCCGATGTGATGCAAGGGGTGCCATCTTCTATAGCAAGCTATCATTACCAGTGT